AATGTAGGTCAGGGTGTGGGAGACACTCCCTTGGGATAAAACAGGATCGACGGAACATTAAGGTTCAGCGGTTGAATAATTTACATCCATCCCGCTTACGACACAGTTAGTGGGCTTCATGTGACAGGAGGATGATGAGAGCAGGGGCCTTCTAGAACTCAGCACAGAGCACAGAGAGACATCTACAATCAGACCCTCAACTTGAGCAAGGCTTTCTGAAAGTACATGCAGGGCACCTGGCTGGCTCAGCGGGTTGAGGGTCCGACTCTTGATTTCAGCTCAGGTCACGATCTCAGGATTGTGAGATGGAGCCCCACTTTGGGCCCTGTGCTGGGCAAGGAACCTGCTGATACTCTCTCTCCCTCTGCCTCTGCCCGCCCCCCAAATAAAAACAAAACCAAAAAAAAGGAATGCATGTGACAATCACACCTGTAGCTTTTAGACCCGTGGTCTGTCCCTTATATGCTGGACAGGACTGTCACCTACAAAAGTACTTTGCACCTAGCAAAACGTATAGCACGTACTCAATAAATCCTAGCTGAGTGGACACAGGAGTAAGCAGTAATAAAATGTTTGCTGAGGATCTGGTACTATGTGGTTAGCTATAAAACATATCCTTAATTTGAGTGGAAAATTATGTCATGTACATCTCTTGGTGGATGCACTAAGCTATCCCTTCAGCACAACAAAAATTGACATACTCTAATCAGAACTCATTACCTTCCTGCCAAAAAAAAAAATCTGTTCTCGCTTCCACCTACAAGTTATCTTCAAAGAAGGCAAGCATTTACCTTTCTTCTGTCTCAACACCATTTACTGAATAATCAAGAAGTGCTTTCACCACTGGATCTATAATCCCACCATTTCTATTCTGTACCTTTAGTTCTCAGATCCCATGAGTATGTTTCTCCCCTGGCTTCATGGCTTCGTCTATTCCTGTGCCAGTCTTGTAATATTTAAGTGCCTGCTACTTGACAAACAGTAGTGTATTTTACACTGAGATTGCTATTCTCGAGCACTTACACTTCTAGAGAAACTTTTCAGTTCATCTCATTTCCCTCAAAACCCTACCTTGAGCTGCATTACACCTACAGATTAACTTGAGAGGAATTACCGTCTTTATAATACTGAATTTTACCACCTAAATAACAAGATGTTTCTCCAGTTAGTGTTCTTTTATATCCTACAGTAAAGTTTTATAGTTTTCTACACAGAGGTCCTGTGCATTTCTTTTTACATGTATTCCTAGACATATCATAGTTTTTAACTGCTTGTGAAACTAGCTGAAAGGAGTGCTGAAAAAAACTTTGAAACTGCTGAAAAAAACTTTATTATATTTGCTAACTGGTTATTGCTGATATAAAGGGAAGCTACTTAATTATTTTACACTTCTTCTGTATCTATTTTCTGAGGCTAGCATGAAAGTCAAAACTTCAGTAGCTTTTCAGCCTTTCTGCGAAAAGAAACTTCTATTAAGAAGTGAGTCCCTTAGCGGCGCCTGGGTGGCTCAGTCAGTGAAGCTTCTGCCTTCGGCTCGGGTCCTGATCTCAGGGTCCTGGGATCTAGCCCTGCATCAGGCTCACTGCTCAGCAGGGAGTCTACTTCTCCCTCTGCCCCTCCCCCCACCCCATCCCCGCTTGTGCTCTCAAATTTGTAAAAAAAAGTGAGTCCCTTTTATCTGATCAACATTTTAACCATATCTTGAACTCATGCCTAACTACACACACACACACACACACACACACACACACACGTGCACGCACACACAGTCATTCGCACACACAGTATCAGTTTCCCGTGCCTCATGCAAATAAGATTGCCCTGTACAAAAGAGCTCCCATGTGATTCCTCAGCAAGAGCCCAGCTTCACTTCCTGTGCTGCCAAAATCAGGGCAGCATGAGCACTTAAGACAAAGGATGGTTCACTGTATTCAACTCTACCTTCTGCAGACATCCAACATTTTGGATATTTACCCTCATTAGGATCAAGTTACGATCTTTTCTGCTCACGTGTTAAACACACTCAAGACTTCTAAATGCCTAAATATTTCATTAGGGGAAGAGTCTGCCTCTAGGAGTGGCTTGTGTCCTGTGTCCAGTTTAAAAAAAAAAAGAAAGAAAGAAAAAAAAAAAAGAGTCCTTCAACTTCTGCCAGACGGCCTCCTTCAGCTAATTTGTCTCTGCCTAATCTTTATCAGTTTACTGCTGATGGTCAAATGTTTCCTCCTAAGGGATAAACATTACACATTACACTGGGAGTTTTTTTATCAGGTTGTCCATCTTTAACATGCTATGTTGTTTTTCTTCCACATACTTAAAACATTTTAAAATTATATTTAAATATTGAAATGAAATTTCAAATTTCAGCAGCAAAATACTTAAAAGCCATGTCATATAAAGCTATTTTTAAACATGCATCTTGCTCTTACTGCAAACTACCCTCTAATTTGTGGGCCATGTAAGTACTCTTTTCCAATAGGATGTGAGCAGCAGTGGTGAGGAGGCATGCCCTTCCTTTGCTCATCAACAGCGCCTCCAACAACATAATCACAAGGATTCCAGAGATGCTGGAGGAGGTGAAGCCCTGAGAAAGAAGCTTCCCTAAATGCGTGTGTGAAGCAAAGGGTCCCTCCTTAGAGGACTGCCACGTGACTGAGAAATAAACATGTATTATGCTGAGCCACTGAAACTGTGTTGCTGTTTCAACAGCAGTTGGCCTATCCCCAGCTAGAGAGTAGTAGTGAACAAGAGTTTAGAATGTCAGGTAAGAGAAATAAGAAAGGTAACAACTAAGATCAAACCAAAGGAGGGGTGGTGAGGGCCCAGCAAACAGTGCGTCATGCAAATCCGTACTCACGCCGACCGCATCCATGACTTCAATTTAGCGACGTTGGATTACTTTTTAAATCTGGCAGTTTAAAAATATAAGCAGCACGATATTTTTTAAATGAAGTAGTATGTGGAATCCCAAATATAAGCTAGAGACACAGAGCAGTTGTGGCTGAAGTAAGACTGGAGGGCAGAGCCTTGCCTGCTTAGTGCCCCCAGTACATGGCTACAGTATCCAAGCACTCAAGAAGGCAATTTGAAAATTCATGACTTTACAGTCTTAACTTCAGTTGCTAATGTTAACATTTCTGTTATCAACATGCATAAACTGAATTTGTCAAGAGTATTCTTTTTGTTTCTATTTCATACCAAATGCTTAATTCATTTCTAAATTCATTATAACGCAAACACTAAAGCTATGAATTTATCTCTTAGATTGCACAGCTTTGCCCACATTGCTCAGGTTGTTCTGCATTGCGTTTGTTATTCTCCTCCCCCGTTCTTCTCATGTATTTTCTTTTTTCTTTACTAAGGTATTATTATTATTATTGATTCAGTAAGTGTTTATTTAATGCCACTATGTGCTAAGCACGAAGGATACCCCAATGAACAAGACCAGTAGGGTAACTGCTCCCAGGAAGCTTAAACTAAGTGATCTTGACTCTTGTAAGCATTCACAACTAATTCCTACTTTCATTATACCCTAATGACAACATGCAACCTGGCTGACATCTTCAAATTCTGAAGATTTTCAGTGGCCCAACATATTTACTGATCCTGCCTGTTGGCTCTTTTCCTGCAAGAATATCTATAATTTGTAAGCTAGATCACCAGCACCTATTCTCCTTTTCTGAATTCCAGATATATTTCTCTATTCTACTCAACATATCGCTAATTTAACTAGTTTTTTTAGTGTATTTTATCAGTTCGTTTTGGCTTGGTTTGGTTTGTTCTTTTGTATGCCACCTCCTTTCATCCAAATCAGTTTTTAAGTCAATTTTAAAAAAAATAAAATCTACTTGAATCCCATTAAGGAGAAAAAAAATTTCATCTTCTAAAATTCTCGTTTCACAGCAGTAATTTTTCTCTAAGTTCATACAACTTTGGTCCATTTCTAATGTTGAATTAACTGTTTTTCATAGATGCCATGATATACTTTATTTTTTCCACTTTGCTTATCCTTAGCAGAGGTCCCTTTAGAAAGATGGTGAGCACGTTGGTCCTCAGGGACTTGGACTACATTTATCTTGGAGCAGACATTTAATCAGTTTTGTTACAGGACAAAGAGTACCACAGAGGAACTACCTCCCTTTTGGAGGAACAAAAAGGCAGAAGTTATTTCCACAACTCAGCTGAATACTAGACACAAGAATATAGAACATTCCATAAAAGTGAAATGCATACAAGTAAAATACATACTCAAGTGTCTTCTCTAGGAAATTCAGAAGACAAGGCGAGGCCAAGGACCTCTGGTCCAAAAAAAAATCTCAGGGGGTATTAAGAAGCAAGAAGAGGTGACCAGATCTTATACAGAAGCTGGTGAATGACTATACAAAAGAGGCTCAGGAGAACAAAGAAAGAAACAGAGAGTCAAGGACAGACTCCAAGGGGCTGGTTTTCAATAGTTACAACTGATGACAGAAATTTCCATAAAATTAGAGAATGCTTCCATTATCAGAATGCCATACAACAAATTTAATTGCTACGTATTTAGAAATTGTATATAAGTCAACTGAAAAGGACAGGTTATTTTTGTGACTTATACAGCACCATAAAAGACCACGTCACAAGAAGAAAACATCTAAATTTGGGGTGCCTGCATGGTTCCGTCGGTTAAGCATCTGACTCTTGGTTTCAGCTCAGGTCATGATCTCAGGGTCATGAGATCAAGCCCCGAGTCAGGCTCCTCACTCAGTGGGGAGTCTGCTGGATATTGTCTCTCTCTCTCTCCCCCTCTGCCCCACCCCCTGCTCGTGCTCACTTTCTTCCGCGCGCTCTCTCAAATAAATAATCTTAAAAAAAAAAGAAAATGTCTAAATTCATAGAAGAATTTTCAACTAAAACATCTGTTGATCACTTTTCATTTTAACTACTAAATGCAACTGTACGCTGTCCTTTCATCAACATGTTAGAATAGATAAAACAGGCTACTGAGTCAGTGTTAAACTTACCCTGAAAAATCAGCAGAGTATTGTCCATAATCAAAGATATAGACTCTAGTAATTTGGCACACTGTGAGGTATCCCAAAGCAAACACAAAACAATATCTGGAAAACAAAAATAAACTAGATTAGTGAAAATAAAAGATTCATTTTGTTAAAAAATACATTTTAAAGTAATTTATTAACCATATGATTCAAAATTTAAATGGTTCAAAAATTAAATATTTCTAGATCTATTCCACAAATAGCTTTCTTCAATAAACTGTAAAAACTCTTTACTAGTATCTACTTTACTTTTGTAAATTTTGTACCATCTTCAATGGTAGATGCATCTAATTACTGCTTTTATTAATTTTTTCCTTCTGAAAGACCTCCATGAACCAAATTATATATTTGAAAGTCATATTCACAAGTATAAAACTGTGAGTACTGGTATTTCTATTTATTCCTCCTTTTTTTTTTTAGAAAACACAATGTGGCCCAAAAATATTTGGCTAAATTATACATTAAACAAATTCTTAATAGGATTTTAAAAACTTGTTCTCAACATTATAAAATCATTCATCCTTAGTGTGGATCAGGTGGCATTTACTCACATTTTATAGGCATGAACATTTAGTGATTTTCACATTCTGGAAGTGCTTGGGACAGAGTTACAATAATTAAACACATAGTATGGAAAAGAATTTACGTATCAATATGAAGAGAACAAAAACAGATTCCAGAACACACAACACTGCATAGGATGAAGGCTGAATTGCAAATGAGCAGGGAGAGATTATCATCTAAATAGTTAACAATATAATTCTAGATAGACTAAAGAACTACTGTCAGCAGAAAAACCAGAACACACAGGAAATGTGGATAAATATCCAAACGTTCTCAAACTGGGGAAGGACTGTCTAAACATTGATTGTATAGAAGAAATCAATAGGAAAAACCCAATATACCACAAGATGTGGTATATATACACAATGGAATATTATGCAGCCATCAAAAGGAATGAGATCTTGCCATTTGCAACGACGTGGATGGAACTGGAGGGTGTTATGCTGAGTGAAATAAGTCAATCAGAGAAAGACATGTATCATATGACCTCACTGATATGAGGAATTCTTAATCTCAGGAAACAAACTGAGTGTTACTGGAGTGGTTGGGGGTGGGAGGGATGGGGTGGCTGGGTGATAGACCTTGGGGAGGGTATGTGCTACGGTGAGCGCTGTGAATTGTGCAAGACTGTTGAATCACAGATCTGTACCTCTGAAACAAATAATGCAACATATTTTAAGAAAAAAGAAAAAGAAGAAGATAACAGGAGAGGAAGAAAAGGGGAGTATGTCAGAGGGGGAGACGAACCATGAGAGATGATGGACTCTGAAAAACTGAGGGTTCTAGAGGGTAGGGGGGTGGGGGGATGGGTTAGCCTGGTGATGGGTATTGAGGAGGGCACGTTTTGCATGGTGCACTGGGTGTTATGAACAAACAATGAATCATGGAACACTGCATCAAAAACTAATGATGTAATATATGGTGATTAACATAACAATAAAAAAATTTTAAAAAAACCCAATATATTTGGTTACTTTAAAATCTTAAGTTTCCTGCGTAGGCAATTTCAGGTAGTTTTATGAAAGAAATCTTCTAAACTTGGGGCGCCTGGATGGCTCAGTCAGTTGAGCGTCTGACTCTTGATTTCAGCTCAGGTCATGATCTCAGGGTCATGGGTGTGAGCCCTGCATCGGGCTCTGTGCTCAGCGAGGACTCTGCTAGAGGATTCTGCTTCCTTTTTCCTCGGCCCCTCCCAACTCACATGTGTACACACTCTCTCTCTCAGATAAATATCTTTTTTAAAAAAGAAATTTTTTAAACTTTAGACAAATAGGTAATTTTGATCTACTTGAATTATTCCTGGCGGGGGGGGTGGAAGGGGGATAGCTTCCGAATTCAAATGTTTTACAAAACTAATATACTTCTGATAACTCTATCTGACAAAATAGCACACATGCATACTCACACACAGAGTGCTGACAAATCAAACTTAAAATAATGTCTAAAAATCATGTGGCTGACTGTGTTTCCCAAGGATGACCACAACAATATCTCCCATCTCATACGCTCTTCTGTAATCCGACCTTCTGCTCCCCCATTACGAACAAGAGTCTATTTCTCTATCCACTTTGAATCTGGGTTGGCCTTCCAGCTCCTCTGACTAGTAGATTACGGCAGAAGTAACACTTTGCTAGTTCCAGGCACAGCCATAATTAGCCTGGCACTTTCTACTTCTTGCCTTTTGGAAGTTGATTGTCATGAAAGAAGTGTGACTATCCTGAGACCACCACATGGAGAGGTTCTGGAGGATGAAACACCATGCAGAAGAGAGAGTGAGACAGACAGACACCAAATCGTAAGATATGTGAGTGAAGAAGTTGATGCCATATCAAAAAGAGACGATCTATCCAGTTGAGCCTTTTCTGAATTCCTGACCCACAAAATTATTAGGAAAATAATATACCTATTTGTTTCAGGCCACCACAGTTTGGTGGAGTGGTAGTATCAGAACAGAATTTGGTAAGTGAAAATGGGGTGCTACCATAATAAAAATCTGGAACACAAAGCACAGGCTTGAGGACTGGGTGCAGATGGGAAGCGTAAAGGCCTTAAGGAGATTGCTAGGGAAGATCTGAAGGGTAGTAAGGAAATTGTCATTGGAAACTACAGAAATTGGCTAACACTGCTGCTCAGTCCAACATGGAAAACAGAACACATACCACTAAAAGTGCCAAATGGTTCCTTCTAGATGTGTACAATAAGGTATGGATATACAAAGATGAACTAAAAATGAGCAGTATTCAGGTTTTTAGCAGAATTTAGAAAAAAAAATAGGGCTCAGGATAATCTTTCCAGGCACAAAATATTCTCAAAGATTTCACAGTAAAGATGAAGTGAAGAGTATTCTTTAATCATACCTCAGGAAGATGTAAGGGCACATTTTTAGAGAACCTCTCAGAAAAAAAACAATAGTTTCCAAGAATCTTAAGGTTATGCCTCTTAGACTCTCTGCTAGACAAGAACGTTTTCAAGAACCTGAAGGATGTTGTCCCACAGCACGTTCAGACCACAGTAAAAGGAGACGGTCTAAAAGAGGCTGTGGGTGTGGCTTCTGTCTAATGCAGGAGACTTAGAGACATAGGAAGCCCACAGGAGTCTTTAAGAGAATTATACGAGACTGGAGGGAAAGGGAGAAGCAGTTCAAAATGAAGAGATCTTTCTGTCCCCAATTATCTACTGGTAGGTAGCGGGCTAAGAAAGCTGTTCAACCACAAAATCTGGCCATTTCTTGTATAAAATGAAGGATAGCTCAGGGTGTAGAGAAAGAGCCACAGAGAACAACTCACAGGGATGAGGTGGGGCACTCCTCAAGGAACTGGTAAGAGGTGTCCATCTGGACCTCACAATTGCTATGGACCAGAGATTGCTAAGAGACTTAACATTCCTCTCCTCTTTTAACAGAAGGATCTACTACGGTTACCCTCTCACTGTTCACCATTGTATATTGGGTACTGGGTGGAAAGAGACAAAAACTTCCCCATTGGTCCTCACATGAAGAAGAGCTTAATTTGAGGAGCCACACTGAAGAAGCCTCATCCACAGTAGACCCAACTTAGATGACCAGATGGAGGTGTCAAGCTGGATGCAATAAGGAGGTGACACTCTGGGGGTCTTGGGAGGAAGAGAGAATATTTTTATGCAGGATATATGTAAACTGTGGGGGCCAAAGGACTGTCTCCAAATTGCTGCCCCCAGTAAAAACCCTATTGCACATGTAGCTCCAAACAGCAAGAGATGGAATACAATCCTTTTCCCCCTGGAAGGGGCTGGACTTAAGAACTTGGTTTACCAATAGAATATAATGGAAATGACTTCCTGAAACTTCAAGGCCCAGTCATAAGAAGGCTTGCAGCTTCCTCCATTTCATTCTTGAAATGCTTGTCCTTAGCATACTCTGAGCCCAGCCATCACACGTGAGCAGACCAAGCCCGCACAGAGAGGTAACAGTCCCAGTCAACAATCCCAGCTGATCTCCCAGCCAACAGTCAACTTCGACTGAAGGGAACCATCTTGGATGTCAAGCAGTCAAGCTTTCAAATGACCACAGCCCCAGCCAACATGTAATAGCACCCACATAAGTCCTCGAGCAAAGACTGTCCAGCCAAGTCTAGCCAACACACAGAACCATGAAAAACAATAATAAACTGCCACGAAGCCACCGAGTTCGGGTGGTTTGTCATGTTGCAAAAGATAACCGAAATAATTCCTTAGTACAGAGTTTAGTGTACTAAAACTCATGGTAATTTAAAATAAAATATCTCGATCAGGTAGGGCTTATTGGATAAATGCAGGTATGAGTCACTATAAAAGGACTAGTGATATCCATCATCATAGTGATGCGCCAAAGGGAAAAACAGTTAGAGTCAATACAGAGAACGCCATCTAATAAAATTTAACAATGTTTCCATATAAGAATTAGAACTCTCAGCAAACTAAGAGAGAAGGATGCATTCTTAACATATAAAAAAAACTGTCAGAACACTCAGTACTTTGTTAGCCCTGAGACACTACTAATTCCTGGGGAAAAGCATATGGACGTTTCTGAAGTGGGAAAGAAGTAGGAATTGTGTTAGTTTGGATGAACTTAATCTTAGACTTACTCTGAAAATTCAAATAACATAAAGTCCACTCTTCTCAAATTAATCTCTAAATAAAACATCATAATCCCAATCAAAATCCTAACAATACTTCCAGCAGAACCTGACCAACCGACTTTCAAGGTCTTCTGGAGAACTAAACAAACCTATGATGAAGAGGACTTGCCCGATCCCTGCAGATAAAAGAACATGTCACAGTGATTTATAATGTAGTACTGTTTCATAAAGAGATCAAGAGATTAACCAAACAGAGAAGAAAGTTCAAAAAAGACCCATCCAACTGCAAGTTTTTGTTTATTAAAAGCTGGCACATGGAATCAGTGGGAGAAGGATGAATGAGGTAAATGAGGTTAAAAAGTTAGCCCTCCTTTCAGAAATAAAACTAGTTTCCTGGTTCGC